TCATATCAATCAGTTTTAATAATTCTGTGATTTCTTAATTAAACATATTGCTGATTGAATTTATCCCATTAGATGATACTGATGAGGATATGATCGATGGGATGTATTTCTGGATAACAATACTGCCTTTCAGTACATCCGGTTGGAATGGGAGGCGATTATTATGGGTTCTCATTACCTGGACCTAGTACTACTACCTTATATTTTTTGCCGCTTGGAGCAACAAATGAAACAATATCTCAAAGTTATGGTATTCACAATGTTTCAATAACAGTGAGGCAAAACAATAAATCCGAAATGATCAAGCAAATCATGAAGGTAGGCTAGTAAACAACTTTGCCAACAAAATGAAGTAAACCGGTTAAAACGGTTAGAAAAGGGATATGATAATATTGAGATGATGAATAGTATTAGAATTTGGAATGTTTCTTACAATACTTGGAACACTGAAAAAAAAAAATGTTGTCACTTCGTTGACAAAATGTTTCAATTTTTTCATTGCTATCAATGTATTGTTAACTTAGGAAAATCGCTGCTTTACAACTTAACGAAATGCAATTCCGTAAATTAGAGAATAGTTGGAAGCAAACATGATCAACAGTATGAATTTTATTTGTATAGGCAGGTTCATTATGGCATTACACAACGTCTGTAGAAGAGACGATATCGATATGGATTCGTGATCAGTTGAATGATAATAATTCTGTAAAACGAATACGATCAAAAGTACGAAAGACATCGAATGTTGAAAAAGCTCGATTGCTTATTATTGCTTCAGTTTGGTATATTTCAGTTTCCGAAATCAAGAAAACAGAAATTGGATGTTTCATGCCAACACCAATGATTGTTGATCGTTCGTTTTCTTTTTTTTGAACATTTTTTTAAATTAATAATGAAATGTATGTTTACTTGATATTTAACTACATAATGCGAAAAATTCCACAATGTTTATGTTATTCATTTCAATTTGATTATTATTAATAATCATGTGCTAGGCCGAAATATACAGGACGACCACAGAATTTTCAACTCTTCTTCTTGCAGCAGATAATACCGATGGAGAAATTACGGCGAATAATGGTGGGAAATAATTTGCAGGATGCGCCAAACTGACTAATACCGTCTACTATCCGACAAATAAAGCTTTGGCAAGCAATATTCTATTCACAGCACCATCACATCTGTGTCCACCAGATACAATTGATATCATGAATGCTATAAAACAATCTAACTCATTATCAATAAAATGGGATGAAGCAGCGGAGAAAACTAATCTGCAAGATAGAGTATTGAAGAAAACGTTTGCCATCACTTCAGGGTTTGTTTTTAAACTTTTTCATTCATTTAATTTTTCATAGATATCGATCCTACTTTTTTTCCCCTTTTTTTTAACATGATATCGATCCTGATATTATCATCACGAAGTTTCAATCTCGTTATTGAATGTTTGAATGTACCAAAATCGGGTTTTCATAGAAATTGACATTTGAGGACAACGATCATGAATATAGTACATTACGGAGGAAACGAAGGAATGTCTATTCACGAGATTCCCGCATACTCTCAATGGGTCAATGGTGATTCATCAGTAGTGGTACCAAAAGGTGCAAATGCTACTCTATATGTATGCTTTTCAGTTTTTAATAAACTGTCAAATTACTCTGATTTAATTTTTTCTTATCACCAACAAATATTTCACTTCCAGAATCTTTTTATATATTTGATCATTTATTTACAAACAGACACATAGGTGCGGAATGATTTTAAGATTTCAGGTTTTAGCGGACGATTTCGGAAGAGAAGCGACAATGGAAGGTTTTGAATATCCTCAGTTTGATCCAGTGGAAGATGTGTCACCCGATTTTAGTCTCTTCCTGTATACTCGTAAACTTGGTGCTGGAGTCTATCGTGTTGGTATCGATCAAGAACTGGGTGGCCGATATATTGCTATCGTTATTGCTGAATTTAATCAGACCACTATTGGTTATGTTGCTGCTATCAACCGTATATTTTCTTTTACATATCCATTCTTTTTCATTGAATTTGCTTATCTGATGATAAGAGAATGTGATTAATATGAGATTTTTGGGAGCAAAAGAGCTTCCCGCTTCATTTCCTTCTTCAGGTTCATATGCGAGTTTCTCCTTATCGTCTCAATTGATTTCTATAATGTAAGAAAAAGAAAAAAAACGTGAAGAAACAAACCTTGAACAGTTCGAGAAATTAAAATTTTTACTAGACTATTTTCTAAAAACTCAAAATTAAAAACAAATAGCTTAAAGTTATTGAAGATGAAAATTTACGAAAGAGAACAGGTTATTGTAGTAATCTGTATGATATTTATCAAATGTTACGATTTAATTGATTATAATCCATAAATGATTATTTCATTGCGATTTATTAAGATTTTCATCCGAAATATGTTAAAATTTGAATTTGCTTTCAGTTCATAGAATTCCACCACCAATATTTGTAAAATATTCTACAACTGGTAAGTATCAAATAATTCATGGGACAATAAGAGGATATCAAAAGAGGGAAAACATCGTAATATTAGACTAATCTTAGAGTCAGACTATGTATCATCAATAAAATTTGTAAGGATTTTTGGTATTGTTCTATTTAAATCTTAATTTTAAAAACTAAAAATAATGAGTTTAAAACTTTTCTATGACAAAATTTCTTAATTCATTTACTTTTTCTATTTCTCTCTTACTTGACATAGTATTTAATTTAATTTCACATAAAATGTTGATTACATTGTAAAGAAATTCCAGCTATAAAATGAAAGATAAAATATAAAATTAAACAAATTTATAACTTTGCATTCCAGCTGATTTGACAACGACTGAACCTACAACAACACCTTTTTTGGTTTCAACAATGACCACAATAACAACAACTCAAGGCGCATCTCTTAGTGTACTTTCAAATAAATTATTCCCAATTTGCATATGTTTCATGACCTACAGGTGAAGGGGAACAATAATATGATAATAACAGTAGTAAAGATAGTAGAAGAAATTACCTGGCTGATAACGTTAGCAGAGATGATATTGACTAGTAAATTTGATATTTAAAAACATTGAATATTGAAATTGCTTTATTTCTGATCACTTATCTAAACTGATTATAAATGATAATTATTACTGCCCCGGAAGATTTTCCATGATAAACATTCAAATAACGATACCATTAGTAATTAGTGACACTGCAATTACCAGTCATTCACTGCAATGTATCATTGAAATGTCAATTGATAACACACGAAATTAATTATCTAATGGAATAGCTACGTGTCAAATTATTTCATACAATCTATCTCACAGTAACTTATCATTTCTATCAAATAGCAATCATTTGCACTATACATTAAACAAATCATGTAAAGGAAAAGAAAAACAAAAACCGGAATCACAGACCGGGTAAAGTGAATTTACTGACCGAAGAAATTACAACTAATTCCACCGAAAGGGTAAAAATAAATGGTTATATCTGATTTCAACCATTTCCTAGCTTTATTTGTTATCACTCCTTTATGATAGCTTCCGAAGTAAATGTTGCATTCAAGTTTCCGTTCCATTCCGAAATATCGTGACTCAGCTTTCTAAACGTCCACTAGGCATTTGCCCATTGGATATTTAAATGGCTGGGTTGAGATATTTCTGATCGCCTGGTGGTACAAATTGAAGATTTTGAAAACATTTCAATAAGAAATACGACAAGTTAAAACAACAAAAAGTAACCGGGTAAGGCAGTAGCTGTTGCATGCGTGCAGTTTTTATACTCTGAAATGCAACTGTGCTGCAGTGCATGCTGCGTAATTTTTTCTCAAGTTTATCCCATCTTATCTCATCTTCCAACGAATAACTGATTCAGTTCAATAGAAATAATCACGAATAATTGAAGGATTGCAATAAATTAAATTTTAATTAAGCCCAAAAAATGCAATCGATACTGTCATATATTCCAGAAATTAATAAGTACAATGAGTTGAAGATCGAAAAACGTTTTGAATAATAAAATTGAAAATTATGTGTCGCATACTTTAAAAAAAACCAATACGCAAAAAGTACAAATTGCGGAAATCCTCACGGAAAGTTTTCCCGAGAAGTTACATGATATAAGCAAGCATTTCAGTTTTTTGTTTAATTGACTCAAATTTAAATTAATCATTGGTTTTGAACGAAAAGAATCTATG